AACCCTTACGGAAATTTACTGGCTCCCGCAGCCTGCTGCCGCAGCGCTGCCGCAGCGCTCCCGCAGCCTGCTGCCGCAGCGCTCCCGCAGCATGCTGCCGCAGCGCTGCGGCAGCACATTGGAATTTATCATGCAAATTAGGCTGCCGCAGCGCTGCCGCAGCATGCAAATTAGGCTGCCGCAGCGCTGCCGCAGCCTGCTGCCGCAGCGCTCCCGCAGCATGCAAATTAGGCTGCCGCAGCGCTGCCGCAGCGCTGCCGCAGCGCTGCCGCAGCATGCTGCGAGAAGGCTGCAGTTAACCGCAGCACTGTCGGAGCCATTTCACTCTGGGACTTGAGCTGCGGTTAACCGCAGCAATTGCAGAGAAGGCTACCATTGGCCTGAGGTATTTTAGGGGGAGGGGGATTGAAAACATCTCACCCAATATGATGGATGCCTATCTCTTCCATTATAGTTGCATCAATGGGAAAATATTGACAATAAATAGGTAATACTCTATTAATTCTTAGCTAACAAACAACTAAAATAATTATCACGCAAATTAGAGAGAATTACATTAATAAATACATAGGTGTTCATAATAAGGAATTGTTACCATTCAACGCTCATGTAGAATATTGACTGATTATAAAATGAAAATTACATTGTAACAACAAGGTAGTGTTAGATGAGAATTATCAGAGTATTACCTATTTATTAGCTATATTTAAAACCTTTTTCTTGCATTACTCTTACCCATTATGCATTATTGTCTACAAAATTCATTTTCTACTATACGAACCCAAAACATCAAATAATATGCAAAATTGGGTAGGGACACACAAATTCGAAGTATATGTTATTCCCGTGAATATTCAAATCTGGCCATGCAAAGCGTACTAATTAAGGTAAAGTCCAAAGTTTTTTCAAAATTCTCTTGCAAAAACTACAGATTTTGTCAAAAATCTCCAATAAAAGTACCACTTTTTGCAGAATTTACCACAAAAACTATTGCTTTTATTAGAAAAAAATTTGAGATAATCTGCTTTTTTAAAAAAAGTACTGTTTTATTTCAAATCTACCATAAAAACTTCAGTTGTTTTAAAATTTACCTCAAAAACTCCCGATTTTTAAAAATCTACGGCGAAAACTACCAATTTTTTTAAAAACTACCAGATTTTGGAAAAATCTCCCATAAAAGTACCACAATTTTTGGAAATCTCATGCAAATTGTTCATTTTAGGATGGCCCGGGACGTAAGACGATATAAGCAATTATTATGGGACATCACTGGTGATTTTACCCATTCAGAATTGTCCTGAAGGCCAGAAGGCTCCAGTTATTGAAGGACCCTCTATGCCTCCAGCAGTATTTATCTTCACAATCTTTATAAAATACCTTATATTTTTACTGCATGGTACAATCCTCATACACAACACATTTATGCTTGACCACTTTGACTGTATGAATAGAATTAAAATTTAGCCTTTATAAATTCACAAAGAAAATGAGATTTGCCCATCTAAACTGGAATAACACAGCAATACTTACATTTTATCTCTCACAAAATAGACATGCAGAATGTTCAAGTATGTCAGTAACTTCTGAATCTATATTTGATTGGTCATTTTCATACTATTATTATAAAATCATAAAATTACCCAAATCTCTTACAGTTGAACATTCTTTGTCAGCCATCTTTCTTTTGGTATAAAAAGAGCGGGAAAATACTGCAGCCCTGTCGGAGCCAGCTCCGAGAAGGCTGCAATTAACTGCAGCGCTGTCGGAGCCAATTCGCTGCTGCAGCCCTGTCGGAGCCAGCTCCGAGAAGGCTGCAATTAACTGCAGCGCTGTCGGAGCCAATTCGCTGCAAATATGATGCTGCCGCAGCATCATGCTGCCGCAGCGATTGGCTGCAATTACCTGCATCCAACATTTGGAGCCAATTTGCTGCGGCAGCGCTGCGGCAGCGCTGCCGCAGCAATGTATTTCCGTAAGGGAATTGCTTCCCTACTTTTCGAGTTATAGTAAAATACGTTAAAATGGCGGCCATTTTTCAAAATGGCCGCCTTCTACCAAAAGTGTCATAGGACAGTGTGCCATGCTTATAGTATTCACATACCAAATATGAACAAAATCGCTCCACTACTTTTCGAGTTACAGCAAAAATCGTAAAATAACGAGTAAAGGCCGCCATTTTTCAAGATGGCTGCCATGTGCTTTTTTAATATCTACATTTGTAGCTTTATTAATGTCCTTTATAATTTTTATACACTTAAAACATATTGCTATTACAGTTTTACATATTGTACCTAAATTACTGTAAAATCGGCACTAAAATGGCCGCCATTTTGAAATGAGCGGCCATTTTGAAAATCGGCTTTCGAGCAGAACTTCTACCCCCATAGGGTATATGTGTACAAAATATGAACAAAATCGGGCCAACGGTATTTGAGTTATTGCCCGGACGGACGGACAGACTGACGGACGTACGTACGGACGGACGGACGGACGAACGGAGGCGTTCCCTATATCCCTCCGAACTTCGTTCGATGGGATAATTACCTAGGGTTTGAGCAGGACCTTAAGTCTGTGATTTGAGTTATAAATTGCTTTGAACTACAAAAGGTGACCCAAAAGGTTACTGGATTTACAATTTCAACATTTCTCAACTACAATGTAATTCTCATGAGAATATTTATCATTCGTTTAATGATCCCAAAGTTTCAGCATCTAATTCCAACCAAATAAGCATTTTCTGCTTGCAGAAGTAATAAAGAAAATGCGTCATACCTGGAGCAGTTGAAAAAAATACCATCAGAAGAAATCAATATCTCAAATTCTTGTCTATTCTGATTGAACATATTGAAGAAGTTTCCTGAAGATATACTGGTATTTCCTGAATATATACTGGAATATCTTTTATTGCCTCTTAATGATCTCACAGAAGGTAAAGTTGTGTTATTATTATTGCTTAACCCACATGTTACCACATGTAATAAATAAAAAAGTAATGTGTGGTATTTTTTGAATCATTTTTATTTAACCTGGTATTTTGTTTACTGGTTGTAATAAATAAATAAAACTAGGTAAATATTTTTATGGAGATAACATGTAAAATTCATTTGCTAAGATTAAAATATTTCATTAAGTTGTCAATAAAATTAAATAAATTGATGTATGCTTGTTTTCTCAAATGAATCGTGTCATTGCATTTGATGAGCTTATACAGGAGATAGTCATGTCATAATAACAATGATACAATATACTTATGATCTAAATGACATTTATTGAGAGGATGTAAAAATTAATGACGATGCGCCTCTGAGTGCCACAACTATAAAAAGCTGTAAAAATGATTGTCAAATAAATAATGCAGATCAAAATAATGAAATAAGAGTATTGCTATTACAACAACTGATAACCTCCTTACAACGAGGATGTTGACACTTTTTAATATATAGGTACATAATAATAGGTGCCCTGTCACATAAAAATGCACAATTGAGGCAAGTACCATCAAGAATTAATCCACATTGATGATGATTAAGTTTTTTATTGTTGATTGGGAGATCATCGATGTCACATTGAACACAACGTTACATTGTTATAACTGTGGCACTATTATTTTCAGGAAGACAGCCCCACTTTCCTACAATGGCATTTTTGATATTTCATTTATATATACTGAAATTGACGATATAGACTACCAATATATAAGTGAATAAAAATGAGAAGTGGCTCCAACGACAAAAGGAAATAACTCATATGACGCTCCAAAGTAGCCTATTTACAAGAATCTCCATCAGTCTTAATATGATCGAGGCTACATTATACAGAACCATGAGAAATCATTTAAGTGATCAATTTTAGCTCAACTGATTTAAACTCCCACAGCAGTGTCTCAGAATACTGCGGTGGGTAGATGAAGAAAAAATCAAATTTTGGTGAAAATAATAAATAATCCCTTTTTTCTTCATAGATTTATTCAATTTTCCAATTAATTATAAAATATTTATTCTTTTACGTTATTCAATAAATTGTCAAAATATTTCAAAAATCATAGAATGTAAGAGAAATATCTGCGGAAGGATTTTGAGATAAATTTCTGTTGATAAAAGTTGTCAAATTGTCTGAATTTTACAATCATGCGGCATGAGCATGGGACAAGAACCAATCACAGCAACTGTTTATGCAAAGTCGTCATGATTATGGTAAAGATTTACCCGCGACAGTGGTATGTTGAAGACTAGCCTTGCCACAGAGAAATATATATAATTCCTGAACAAATACTTTCCTTAATACTAAAAGTAGATTAGTATGTTATGGAGTTATGTAATGATTTGATGTTTTTATCTATCTTTAGAAATGACATGACATTCTCATTTTTCACTAGATTACATTACTCAGGGTTTTTATAAGTAAATTGTTTTTTGAATGGAGGAAATATTGCAAATTATACCTGAGGGATTATTATCCTTCAACTAGTTTCTGCTAATGTGTTTTTACCCAATAAATTTTGCTGTCGTTGTTGCACTGTATTAATTTTACAACTCCAGTACAGTAAAATCTATCTAACCGGGATGCAACTGGGAACATTATCAGCAGGTGTTCACATTTCAAGGTTTCCTAATTAATGGAGTCAATGTGAGATTACAATATAGAAATTAAGAGAAAATGCTCATAATGAGAGGTGTTCGAAATACAGAGGTATTTGGACAAACAAGTCTAACTGTACAATACACATGTATTAGTACATGTGTATAAGCCATTATTAAAGGCATGGTATGGTTTTCCATTTTTCACCATAAAATTTTTTGTAAGATTCTATATACGACTTAACCATACTTTTGTGTAACTGAAAGATTGAAACAGTGTTTGAAATTGTGAATCTTTAATTATAAAGAGCACTCTTAAAAACTGATTCAAAACAACATATTTATAACCCATCTACTCACTGAACTTAATCTAATAGAACCCTATAAGTTGACACATTTGATACAGGGCGATTTCTTACTTACGTGTAATACAGCTTAAGCCGTCATCAGCCAATCTTTGCTTCTTGCGACAACTGCAAATGTACCCAGGTGCCTCAACAGTCTGTTCACACATATATTGGCAAGGACAGTCTATGAAGATATTCATAACTGCAACCATCCCGTGTTCACGATTGTTTTCTGAAATAAAACACAGATTTTTAAGTTTTATAAATGAAATAAATGATTATCTAATAGATGCTTAAATAAAGAGGATAAGAATGTAAATTGTTATTAATTTATATACGAGAGAAATGGTCTTTGATTATCGCAGCAGTCATAGAAAAAAGCCTAGTGGTTGGCTAAAGGTATCTCTCTATCTCCCTAAGTTAAGAATGGGATAAATTATAAATGTTGCATCATGGGAAATTTGATTCCAATCAATGTATACTTTCATCATCATTAGAGTTTTGATAATCTTTTTAAAAAACAAATAAAACCAAAAGTAAAGAAACAGTAAATAAATCTGCCAGGGAAATACAAATTGCAATTTCCAAAGAACAAATTATGTTGTTCCAATATTCTTTTTCTCCTTAAACTTCGAAGCTAGTTGATAAGTTAAGCACATAATTGTTGTCACTGATCCTATTGCATGACAGGGAGTGGGTGTTGTTGTTGCTATGGTAGCAAGTTGAGTGAGAGAGGTGACATATTGACATTAATCCCATTGTAAGTCACGCGTTTAGTTCCCTTTAGACAAGCTGAACACAAAGAATAGACAAAAGATCTTTTCACATCATTAAGTGACATGCTCAACTCCCTATAGACAGGTGCTTTACAAATATTTGTAAATAAATGCCAACTGGGAAAAACAAGTCTCATTATATAATGCATATTCTTGAAATTTTGAAAACCAACCAACTGTAGCATGAGACCATCTCCCATTTTGGAATACAATAAGGATGCAATTCAATGGCACATTCTAAATACATGTAAGTACTGTGTTCTATAACTAAACCTAGCAGAATCTTCTTATATATTCATAAATGCATTTCCCCACATACTCGTACCTCGATAAATGTATATTTGATAATTATTCAGCATTAAGTTTGATTCTAAATTATCATAGTAGGGGCAGAGTATAAATTCTACATAAAGCATTATATTTGCACTCGTTGTACTCATTTGCACTCGTTGAACAGGCCTTTTATATTTATTGTATCTTTATTGTGTCTATGAGGTAGACATGGCAACCATAATTTTACAAAATGGATTTCATTAGACATATTTTAGACTACAATTGCAAACAACCCAATAACATGCAAAATGTCACAACCTGCCATTTGTTACAGATGACATATAGCCTCATTAATAATATATATACTTACTTGGTGCACTATAAGCCCTTGTTCCTATTGGATTGATGAATGACACACCCCCACACCCATTCTCCATATAGTCATCAGTAAAAGAAACAGCACCTCCTAAAAATATTATATACAATGTATAACAATATAGCACTTTTAATATAGTGTGATACAAGTGAGGGATTCTATTGTTTGTGCTGTTTTTGAGTAATCATGAAGTATAAACACAACTTCAACATGCAGTATTAAGTTAACTAAAGGGTGGGCCAAAAAACACACGAGTACATTTAATCATGCTTGTCACAATGCTTTTCAAGAAACACTAGAAACAAATCAAAGATGTTGAAGAACAATGTCCATTTTACTGTTTTGTTTGGAACTACAAAACATATCAGAATCATGGCAAAATGGCCAACTGCCTGCCAGGCAAAAAACAATCTTTTACCTTTTTAATTATGATATAAACATCTTATTTATGAAGGCATTATTATGGTATTAGATATAAATCGACTCTCTGGACACTGAAGTTTATAGCAAACTGCAAGTTGATAGTCTTATATAAGCAACTCTTAAGCATCTTTTTTATTACATTTATTACTTTGTGATTTAGATGACATAACTTTGAAGCCCTGATTTAATCTCTAATGGACTTGCTGCTTTATTGCACAAAGATAGCATAACTGTATTTTATGGATTAATAATACTGTTACATAAATTGTTTTTATGACAACGTTTAAAAAGTTCTATTGAAGATTCTGACTGAGCTCTTTGAGCTTAAAGAGTTTTCAATCATTTTTAACTAAATACATTTACATTCTCTTTGCCATCTCTATGGCGAAGCTTTAAGTGTGTTTTACTCTGGGTCCTTCGCTTATTTTTTTTAACCAACAATTTGGCTATTCAAATTTTCTATTTATAATTTGACTAGTAATAAGTGAATTTAAACAAAAAGGAATATACATGCAGTTTAAAGGCTCATAGTATTTATGGGATCCATATATACATGCATATTATTATTTAACACTATCATAATTGTTATATATGAACGTATATTCTTGCTGTGTTCTGTAACGATTTCTGATCCTTTAACCCTTTGGTATTTGTGTATATAGTCACCAAAAGCTACCACTATGAGATTCATATCATTTTGTTTTTCAAATGCTCCTGATATTCATAATATAGGTTAAGGTTAATATAGTGATTTATATGACAACGAAGGTAATTAGAGATCGGATAAAAAGTCTATTAAGCTTGGCAAGCAGCTAAGAACATAGTGAATTAATAAAATATAAATAATTTTAGGGAAGGGAAGAGTCAATCTGCAAAATATAAAAATTCACTTTGGACAACATCTAAATATCTTGAACTCTTAAACATGTAGGGTCAGATAAATACATGTAGGGTCAGAAAAAAGCATGAACAGTCAGATAAATACATGTAGGGTCAGATAAATGTTATATAATTATTCCTACCTGAGAATCCTCCACCTCCTCCCCCACTCCTGCAGGCTCCTCCCCCACCCCCAAAGCCCCCAGCAGCCTTCAAAGGTTTTTGTGCCTCTGGACAGGACTTGCCTCCCAGACCACCCATTATCAATGAGTGGCCTGCCACAGCTGACAGGTTTGGTGATGATATATTCCATCCACCACCTGGTCCTGAAAATAAATGTGGGATCAGAAAAAAGCATGAAGAGTCAGATAAATACATGTAGGGTCAGATAAATACATGTAGATTCAGATAAGATATGTAGGATCGAATAAATGTTTGAATATGATCTAAAAATAAATTTCGAACCTGCTTTAGATTCCTCCGACCAGTTACCATGTCCCATATTTCCACTGTTCAAAGGAAGATATCCCCCATGAGTACAGCCATCTATGGAATCATTGCTGTTACGATAGCTCTTCCCACCAGCACCAGCAGCGATGATTAACGGCACGAGTTTTTTGGTGACACTGTCCCTCTGTAACACAAAAAATCAATGATTATATTATATAGTACATTTATGATTGATAAGACTGAGTTACAGGATTTATGAGGTGCTTTTATGTATACAGTCAATGTAATTTTAGCATGGCCAATTGAGGTAATCACCCTTTAGAATAGACTCCTTCAAAGGAAACACACTGTCTTTAGGACTTAGGTGCATGTCTGCAAACTTAGGGATAATTGCTTTAAATTCAGTTTTTTAACTTTAAACAATTACTTATAATAAGCACATATTCCTCAGAAATTTTGTTGACACAATGCTTTGCTGTTATCATTATTATGTTTATGTTAAGAAACCCCTTGGTGATGAAATGATTAATCAGACAACTTAAAAAATATTGTGGTCACAAAAAAGAAAACAAACCAATGAACCTCCATAAACAGACCAGATCCTTTAAGCTGCAGGCACTCCACCTTTGACAAAAAAGACAATTTATGTCATTTATTTCCATTAAGGTGCAGACTGAACCTTTTTTCCTGTCCTAAGCTATTTGTACTTTAAATAAGGATGTAACTGATGACGGAGATATTAAAGGATTATTATGTTAAAAACCTGCAATTGAGTGCAGTATGGAAGAGTGTTAAGAATAATGCTGAGAAGGCGTAAGTATATAATCCATCAGATCCTGTATTTGACAATGTGACCGATCACGGCATAATATTTACTGAATCCAAAATGCCCCCCCCCCCCAAAATGGTGCCAAGTGACAAAACCCAAGATCTTGAAAGGTAATTGCTATCAAACATCAATAAATCACTTGTGAAACTCATATGATGATGTTTAATGTGTGGATGAGAAAGATTACTCTTCTATGTTTTTTGAAAAAGGCTTGGTCTCTCCATCATGATAAGCCATGACCCCAGGGCCATGACATTCCATTTCTTCTCAGTTAAAAGATGTCATGATATTATGGGTCAAATCTGGTGATCCTTCAGGCTTGAGAGCCCATATTTGAGATATTTTGAGATATTTCATATTCACTTAAAGTTGTATGTACATTATACTTATCGTCCTTATTTCGACGACGAACTCTGATTAGCACAGTGAGTTCAGAGATTCATTGAAAACTGAAAGAGTGATTAGCTCTCTTGCAAAGTCGAACAAATGCAAGGGTATCTAATTAGCAGGCCTGTCAACTTGGGAACACCTAAGGTGGAGTGACGAAAGATTTCGAACGGAATGCGTGACATATACGTAATTCGCGTGAAAAGTCCAAACGAAATGCGTACATTTTTTTCCGGCGTTCGTATTTTTGCTGTGTAGACGATCTTTTTTAGAAATTTTTCTACAGAAATATTTTTGCTTGACAATTACCAGGTAAAATGCGTATTTGCGTGACATTTTCTGTCACGCAAAAATAACTGGCGTGACTTCAAAGTCTTCAGCAAATGCGTGACAAATACGCAAATTGCGGGACAATTGACAGGCCTGAATTAGGGGTTATACATGTAAACTTGTAGAGATTATATATCATGATACAATATGGTGCCTATTATATATAATATATGAAAATTAGGACAATACTGTAAAACCTCAAATATTCACTGATACAGCATGACCGCAGATTACAGAAGAGCTAAGTGTTTTGGAGTTGGGTCAATAACACACTGTACACGCAACACATAATTACCCATTTAAAAAAACAGAATCTATAGGTAGTTTACCTCTACCTTTGGCGGAAGTTTACCCTTGAATGAACAGCCAGACGCAAATAAGCGGAAATTAACGCACCTTGAAAAATTAGGCTTTTATGGTATTTACAGGATAACCTCATTTTCTCATTCAATGTCAATTGTAATTTTTCCAATCAGATGAGCTGATATAAAGAACATGTCCAACATAATAATCGGAGCATGTTCCAGTGAAACGGAAAGAAGTAATGAGTATCAGAATGAGGTCTCTTAAGATAAATTTACTCTTCGAAACAGAAGACAGGTATTAACAGGCATATAGACATCTAGCAGTCAAGAAGTCTACCCGTAAAAATGTTTTAAAAGAGAAGGACGGGGCTTTAAATGGGATACACTTAAAAGCTCTTGGTTAATTATACAATTCTCTCTTAAATTATACCTTGTAATTAAACCTTAGGCAACAGGACATCCTGGGGGATCACAATCTTCTATCAGTTCCTCTCTTGATTGCAACTTGCAAAACACATAGATAAGTACAGTACCTAGCTGTATGTGTATCTACTTTGATATGCATGATTTAAGTGATCTTAAAAGTGAAGTAATTACAAGTAATTAGAAAGCTAGAAATGTTAATTAAAGACAGGGATATTTTATATCTGCTACAGGTGATAATACCTCATTTGCCAAGAGAATCGTAGCTCAGTACTTAGTATTATAATCAGGTCACGTTCTGTGCATGCGTCAATCACATGTAGACATGCTAAGTGGATGACATTATCAATACAAGGCATTACCATGGAAAATGTCACCATCTGCCGTTTGTTACAGCAATGAAGACCAACTGTCAATCAATGAACACCAACAACCAAACAATGTCCACTAAGAAGTCAGAGATTATAACAATATGTCACCACTTTTGGTGATGACATAAAAACCTGCGTGGATCAATTTATAAACAGTTATTAATTTTGTCACCACCTTTAATTCTTAACTTAATCAGATGTTATTAAAGTAGGACAGTTTCAAATGTTGTGCTGGAATGTTTAATTTATACAAAGGTGCACAAGAATACAATCACAAGTCATGCTTCATTTAATTCTGTCATGAGTCAATCCCCTATTTTTTGAAATGCGATGAACAGAGTCATGAATAAACATCACGAGCCTAGATCTTATCTAGAACACTTGTGTTGGCAATGCACCAGTTATTTGATTCAAAATGTCAATATTATCACCGATACAATGTATTTAACTTTTTTTTAAGTACCCATTAGAATTACAGTATTAACTTCAACTTTTCCAAAAGTCTCGTTAATCTCCAATTCATTTCTATCACCAATAAAACCGGAATATACTCATTAATGGCTTATGGAGTTATTGTAAATTATATGCGACTTTTATGATGAATATGGTATCAAGAAAACACAAGGTTAATGCATTAGTTTCAATTATTTACACAAAAAAGATATTGATTGATGATTATATTTAATGCATAGAAAAAAATACATGAGCTGATGAGTATCGGCCATATCTTTTTCTAATTTTTTCATTGGAATCTCTTAACGACTTACACTTTTGAATTTCAATTTGGGAAGCGTACTGTGCGCTCATTAGAGAAAATACGGTAAGTGTGATTACTGTCATAGACGCTGGTGCTGAGAATAATACAGTCAAAACCTAGTCAAACAAAAAATGGTTGTCACGACATTTTATTTGTGGGTAAGCAATTACCTTGAAAACGTAGGAAGCACCCCCACCACCTCCCCCTCCTCCGTAAATTTCTGACATCCTCTCGCCATCCTCGATATCCGACCAGTTAGTACGGCACAAGTCGCTATCTCTATCCTGGGACTAAAAATACATAAACCAAACATAATTCAAATTGATTTCAACAATGTTCCCCTCAGTACCACACTGGTACATTTTATTCTTCTGATTATCCGTTAGATTTCAAATCAATTCAATATCTAATGTACAAATATGGTAAGATATTATAATGAACAAATATGGCAACATCTTATGTACAAAAATGGCAACATATCATAATGAACAAATATGGCAACATCTTATGTACAAATATGGTAAGATATTATAATGAACAAATATGGCAACACCTTGTGTACAAAAATGGCAATCTATTATAATGAACAAATATGGCAACATCTTATGTACAAATATGGTAAAATATTATAATGAACAAATATAGCAACATCTTATGTACAAAAATGGCAACATATTATAATGAATAAATATGACAACATCTTATGTACAAATATGGTAAAATATTATAATGAACAAATATGGCAACATCTTATGTAAAAATATGGCAATATATTATAATGAACAAATATGGCAACACCTTATGTTCAAAAATGGCAATATATTATAATGAACAAAATACGGCAACACCTTATGTTCAAAAATGGCAATATATTATAATGAACAAATATGGCAACACCTTATGTTAAAAAATGGCAATATATTATAATGAACAAATACGGCAACACCTTATGTTCAAAAATGGCAATATATTATAATGAACAAATATGGCAACACCTTATGTTCAAAAATGGCAATATATTATAATGAACAAAATACGGCAACACCTTATGTTCAAAAATGGCAATATATTATAATGAACAAATATGGCAACACCTTATGTTAAAAAATGGCAATATATTATAATGAACAAATACGGCAACACCTTATGTTCAAAAATGGCAATATATTATAATGAACAAATATGGCAACACCTTATGTACAAATATGGCAACACCTTATGTACAAATGACGATCATGTAGCATACATGAAGACAATTTCCCAGTGATATGGTGTAATGAAAACAGAAGTGGGAAGAAATTAATCCTTATAGAGAATGAAAAGAAAATACAAAGAGACTGATAATATGGGATTAAATGATAACGCACGATGAGTAAAAGAAATAATTTCCCATGAGATTCAGAAGTTTGCATGTAGAAAAGCTGCATGGTACATTTGTTTTCACTACTGGTCCAGAAAATATCATGCTCTATTGATGCATAATTTAGGCAAGTCTCTACTTTGTGTGTGTTATGAGAATGAAGTCCTAACAAAATAAACAGAAGCAATGGCAAAATCTCATATTTTTTATTTCTTCATTGGAAATGCTTTTGATACAGAAGAATACAGATACAATGTACTGGTTCTTCCAAATATTTCAATTTATATATTTAAAAGTATTTATCAGTTTATAGGCATAGTAAATAAAACATGTCATATAAATAATACTTTTAAGTAATAGGATTATGTCATTGCAATATTGCCACTTACATAATCTGTGGCAAATTTTATTTGGCATTTATTTCCACTTTATTACAAATGATAACATCACAATTGTAGAATAAAAAATTCATGACATGCCATCATAGGCTCCAGTAGTACTGCTATGTCTAAGAAACAAAAGCTCTGAAGTAAGTAGATAAAGATGAATGAAGATACAAATGAATTTATAAAGTAAGATAAATTAAGTGATCTGGCAAATAGGAACTATTATTCATTGCAGATATCAGTTACTCCGGAGGCTTCATAATGAGTCCTTAATACATATGAAATTGTTTTGTGTAAATTCCTGTATTATCTTTTTATCTTTTACTTTGGCGCTAATGCTATTGGTTTAACTATAGCATTTATTTGTACATGTATAAAACATAAATAAATCTGAAATTTGAAAAAAGTACATATGAAATAAATATTTCTCAGGCATGCAAGCCTCGGCCAGGATGCACTTGACACACCCCATATATATTTCTTGAATGTTACACTATATATTTGAAGTAAACAAATGGGAGCTGAGTGAACGAAGATGAGGAATATATGCCACGAGATAACAAGAATAACAGCAACTCTTTGAAGAAGCAAATAACAAAAACACATTTTATCAAAACACTTCTTTTGAACATTGAATATGATCGAAATAACAAGGCAGCGATACAGTTGTATTGTCTCATTCATCAAGAATTATATACCATAATGTAACAATTAAACAATCGAGTCATGTTCTCTTGGGTCGTGATCAACGAAACAGATGCAGCCATGATGTAAAACTTTGCGGACCGATTTGTAGAAAATAATCTCTTAGCTACATATTGAAAATTTGACATTCTAGTCAATGGTCTTTATATTCAAAGTCAATTTAGATGTCACGAATTGTAAGAATGTCACTTGCTAATGCAATTGAATTATCGTTTGTTGAATGATAAATTAGATGCAAGATTGGCTTTATCACGCTGACTTAAAATAATTCATTATGGATCTCTTGAAAGTCCATGATTTAAGAAACAAATTGAAATGTTATTATCTTTCTCCTGATGACCATAAAATACATTAGTAAAATGGGATTGGCAATATCATAGACCTAAATATAACAAATGCCTATTTAATATACAGTCTTTAATAGTTACTGGAACATTGACTCCTATTAGCACTTTGTAGCCAATAATAAATTCTCAGCTATAAACTCAGCAATTATTTTTAGTTACCGGTGATTCTGGGAGAGGATACTTTTAAGTTATAACATGAGCCTCATTTTCAGATGATCAATCAAAAACAAAAAAAATTATATTTTGAAGATCTGTGATATACCATTTAGAAAATATGGCTTATTTTGAAAAATGTTCCCAAAATTTCAAAAAGACCGCTGATTTTTTTGTATTAGACCTCAAATTCTTTTACAATGGCCCCCTGGTAATCTTAATTAAGCCAATTGATTTTTCTTCCCAAACAAGTTTCAGAATGTAAAAATTTGAAAAATGACTCTCTCTATTTCTTCTAACTCCTAACTTTAACACTGAACACTCCTTTAAGATGAACACCTATGTAACTTTAACATTGTATCATCGGTCCCATTTTCTTCCCTCCATTGCCAATCACTTTTAAAATATCTCTAAGATGATAACCCCCTGTGTACCTAAAGAATGGAACCCAAACGTAAACGTAAAGTAATTCTACTCACAATCTATTGTATTACATATTTTACTAAACATCAATCATCTTTATTTTTGAAGAAACATTAATCAAGAATGCAAAACAGGTTATTTTACCCATCAATTTTGATCTTTTTTTTAATAAACCTGTCACAAATTATTAAAACTGTTTATTAATTAATTATCAAGTTATACTTATTCTAAATGCAAAATTGGCTGAGCTGGAAGTCTCTGGAAGTCTCAATATGCTTAACAAATCATTAACAGGCAAAATGTCACCACCTGTCATTTGTTACAGGCGCCAAACACTGAACAAAAAAAACTGACCACAGTGCACAAAAAAGTTGGAGACTCAATAACAATATGTCACCACTTGTGGTTTTGACATAAAATCTAACAATTGTTGATTACGTACTGAGAAGCTTTTCAGAAAATTTCTAATCAATAGATTTGCATGCACAAGTGCCAAAGGAAAAAGACCAATAATTGTTACAGAACATAGCAATAGAAACAGAGAATACTGTATGTTAGACTACATCAATCACTAATGTGAAGAGAAACATTGCATAATACCCCCTTTTACCTAACATTCAAGTACCATTATCAAATTCATACTGTCAAGTTATTCATCAGAAGTCATACTGATTACTGAAGTCACGTTTTAATGCATATACTAGACATCATACACAAATTTTGAAAAAAGCAAACAGCCAATCCCCAATCCAAAACACAGTTTGCCACAAAATTGTGTAGACACACAACAGCAGACAGAAATTTATAGGAACAAATATTCAAAATTTACTGAACATATTTTCAACAATAAATAAAAACATCCCTGAAAAATTGTCACATCTGGGAGACCTTGTTGTGTGAACATTTGAGAACACTTTCATCTGATCTGAGGAAACATCACTAAAGACTCTGTTCAAAACTGTATGAAAGATATCTCACCTCAGAGCAAGGGGATTCTCCTGCCTGTCCCACAAGAATGTACAGTAGCTCCCCCTTGATAAGTTTGAAATGAGCTGTAGCGTATCCCCCCTCGGATTTCTTCTGATTCCTCACTCCTTTTCCACCATGTGCTCCGAGTGCTGTTATACTGAAAAACAAGGTGTATTCAGATGAATATAAAACCTATCACAGTATGTCACATATTCAGCAATGAATAGTGTCAAAACATCATATAAAATTACTGCCGATTTCAAATTTGGTATTTTTTCTGAGCTCCACCTTGTTGCATCACCAGTTACCATGGCAACAAAAATTATAGGATAATGATGTCATAGAACAATGAAATCTTCATGGTGTGATCCTATATATGTGGGTTATATTGTGTGAAAAAATCACTAAGAAAGGATAAAAAATGGAAAAAATAAAGCCAACGGTCCAGAAATTCCTGATCACCCCTCGTAAATGCGTTTGAAGCAGTATTTTCATGAACTTCCATGAGTGAAACATAACAATCAATAAACATCATGTGTGACTGATTCCAGCCAATCCAAACACAGTATTTCATATAACTGCACTGCATTATATAACCAATACACCGTCAAAGATCATTTGTTGGTCAACTGTTGTCAAGGTAACAACTTAACAGATTGAAAGTAATACTTTGCCAGACTTGACCCTTGCAGAAAGTTTTGTTTTTTAGTGATTTTGTATCTTTCAGGTGAATTTGTGGAAAAATATTTTGCAATGTGTGAAAATGATTTGAGCAAAAGAGTCAATGCATTGTGGCTGATTCATTCTACTCAGGCATTGTAACCTAAACTTAGCACTCAAATCTGCAAATTTCGTGCAAACTTTGAGACAACACCTTGGAGGAATGATTATCAGTACACAATATACTCCAGGGCTTAAATCCTTAAGTACAATTCCATTCAGTATAATATATCATAATTTCACACCAAGCTGTGATTATTAACATCCTCGATTTCAATTACTGCATTGTCTATATGACTTCACACATTCATATATCATCAATTAGAGTTCCCTATAGTAATCAACACAATGAAAAAGATATAAAGATTACATATTTTAAGTTTAATAAATATGACGCAATTGATCTGAGCCATGTTATTCAAAATTGGATTATATAAAGGTCACCTTGACACAAGTATAAGCTATTAATAGGAATTCACCATGATGTATAATGATTGATAGTTGTATACTACTGTAAAAGGAAAATGAGATCTCAGGCCCTTAGTCAGCTTTTGCCAAGGGTGGGGGGGTTTACTTGTCAAAAAATTCCAGGGAGGGATTCACATTTGGCAACTTTAGCCCAAAATCACTTGACAATAGTTGTTGAGTTGCTTCACACATGCTTTGATGCGATAATTGAAAGGCTTTCTTATTTTATTGTGTCTTACTGTTTAATCAAACTCACTTATTTCCAAAACAACAGGAAATATGTTTTTAATATATTTATCTGAATGATGCAATGAAATGTGAAAATTAAACATGTCATCATATAAGAATAAAAATGTCTCAACTCCCACATTTTTGTGAAACTGAGAAATCAATTTTTGAAAGTTTAGGCATCTGCAACTTCAATACTTCTATCTGTCATTTGTGAAATGTTTAAATTGTTTTTTTTTCAAAAATAGCACTTGGAACATTATTATTCTCATACAACGATGTATTACTCTCATTCAGTGGATTCAGTATACTTAGCCAGACGTTTAGAACATTTAATAATGTTATCGCCTACTGAATTCAAATTGTCAAACACATATGTTGTTTTTCTAAGTGCTAATAAAGTTTAGTAAGCAAATCAAAATTCACTTTATTTTCATTTCGATTTATTTTGTTTAATTCTACATTTGAATTTGACATGAAATTGACATGGAGTGTTTAGATTTAAATATTGCTTAACAAAACTTTATTTTCTCAATGTTTAGAAACAATCAGTGGTATCATCAAATTTCAGACTTGTTCATAAGAGTGATAATTGTTCAATCTCTTGTGAAAGATACTGCCTTAAAGGAATTAGAAGCTATAGGGACAAAAAGTTCAAAATTTCTGGTTCTGGTTTTCAAGGTGATTGCAATTGGTACAACAGGTTTTGAATGCATAGGCATTACATAAAGAGGGAATCTGATGAAACAGAATACACAAGTGTTACTAAAATAGGGAATCTGATAGGGAATCAGATTGCACAAAAGTAAAAGAGGAAATTGAATAGATCAGAATGTACAAGAAAGAATTGATAAAGGAGGGAATCTGATAAATTAGAAAGTAGAAAAGCCGCTTACCCATACGTTCCATTTTCCGGAACAGTCCAGATCTGAATACCAGCTAATTTCGGACGAGTTGATACCTTCACTTTGATTGGATATTTAAGAGAGAGCTGGTAGAACGAGTCACAATCAGACTGAGTGGGTCCTTTGGGTCCTTTCTCAATGCCACATGTTTTAAACAGATATTCTGAAAACACACAAATGAGGAACAATATTATACTCTATTCAGTATGCATACAAATGTGAAAGTTCTAGGATGAGTAATATTGCATCATCCTTCAAATTGAAACACAAAATCAAGACAAGAAATATAGAATGTTTCATGAATGACCCATTTTTGCATGGATTTTACTGATGAATCATTCTCATTTGATTGTATCTTGTTTTCAAAGTCCTTATCACAGTGGGCTATTAACAGTAAGGCATATTTCCAGCAAAAAAAGACTTCATGCTTTTAGAACCCTGCTTCGCATATGTGCACAGTTAATCCAAAGGTTTCTGCTAAAATAAAATATTTTATGTATTTATTCTGGGCGGCAAAAGGTAAAAACATTTGTTAAAGCTCTTTCAAGGCCAAATGTAACATTCAAATATCCTATCTTGCAGAGAGGTGTAAATTAAGAGGACCTTATTAGCCTTTTACTCTAGAAATACTTTCCATATGAACCAATCATTTAGTGTAGAATTCAAAGTAAACATAATATGAGATAACACCCAATTTACTTTGATAAATTAATGGTAGTTAATGGAATATAAGGAAGCAATTGCCATGGTAATCCATGATGGAAGACATAAATCAGAGCTTGACAGTACATAATGTTATCAGTCTCTTCAAGGTGAATTCCAACTGGAAATACATTTTGAACAGACAAACTGTTTTTCTGCAGTTCAGGTTAACACAAAACTTGTTTACAAGTTTAAATTTCAATCAAACACATGTATGTTTTGTTTAAGATCTCGTTAGATTCACTGTACCTATACTCCTTGTACACACTTGTTGATGGGCTTAGTCTACCACCATACTATGGACTGCCCATTTTGAGTTCAACAGCAGTTATTAAGATAGATAAAGAGGCCAGAACTCTTGATACACCAGAATGTGACATATATGCCCTGTTTCTATTTACCTTAACATAAGATTGTCATAATGTAAACCAACCAGAATGACATCTCATTCAGAGCCATCTCCAAGACAAGCTTCAAGCAAGTGTGTTGTCGCTGTAGCTATAACAGAATTCAGGATTTAGGCAGGATGGTATATGTAAATTTCATACCTTGGAAATACGAACCAGATTGATAAATCTGTCTGCAGTAACTTTGATGTTGATGAAGTACATCATGTTTGGACTTCCAAGGTAGATGATTACATGTATACTATACCAGATGAATTTGGAACAACAGAAACCATGTAAATCAAGATGCACACAAACAGCTAGACAGATTCCTAATATCAGATAAAGCACCATTCTTGAGCACCATTCCTATCAAACCCTCTCCTAACTTATGCAAAGACCAACTATTCCTTTTTAAGCGACTTGAGTTAGTATTATCCAATCTAAGATGATGGTCAAAATTTGTTTGATATTTATAAACCTTCCATTTCAGCTAAACCAAGTGAATTTGGATTCTAAATATTTTGTCACCAGGCTAATAAAGTTCGGATTTTTAACAGCAATATATGTTTGAGCAAAGACATGTTCAAACATCTCCAAAATCGGAGAAATTAAAAAACCAGGTTTTGCTTGGGATGATATTAACTCAAATTACAATGAAGATTTGCGTTCATATGATGACTTTTTTAGTTTGCATGAAATAATACTTGGAAGGCAGATTACTTGGTTCAGTTGGATTCGAAGATTTATGAATATCAAATGAATTTTGTTGACCAACTTGGAACTCTATTAACACCATCCTAATGTGAACCAGTGACCTTGATACATTCTGATACTTTTCACATCTTTCTCCTTTTAATTCAACTAGTGATGTAATTCTAGAATTCTCAACTTGAACTAATAGGAGGTCATTGCTTCCACCGACCAACTTAACATATACTGTAGATTGGGTTAATTTGGCGATACTTAATTTGGCGATTTTGCCATTTTTGGCATATTGGCGGCTATTTAATTTGGCGGATTGCAAAAAGAAAAAAATTTTTTTTCAAGGACCACTGGCGATATTCACCACGTTTGTACATTTTTGTGAGATCATCCTTTACATTTTGTACCTCGATCTATGCTGCTACCATACTGCGTTTTTCCCTGAGTATTAATGAGTGACTGACCAGTTCTGAGCCAATTTATGAGAGATATTTTTTCATATTTTTGGAAAAAGCTAAACTGGAAGTGACCTAAAACACTGGACAAAATACCCTAGATAATTCCCGGGGATTTATTCTAAATTTTGGCGAAGATTTAAATTGGCGAATTTTTCATTTTCGCCAAATTCGCCAAATTAAAGCGGGCGCCAAATTAACCCAATCTACAGTAGTTTTATCTTATACTGCTTAGGAACAACCAGATAATGGTACATTGATCACTATGCAACACTTAGGTTAAAATATGACTGCCAAGCCGGCAATAAATCCATTGCTCGATTGGGTAATATACATTATTATCTCACGTTCCATCATGTAGAAGACCATAAGAGGGAAGTTGGAAAATAAATCCTGGCTAATTTATCATGTAAGATGCCAAGTAATTACCCGTATTGATAAAAATGTGATTTTCTACTCCGTTGGTAGAAATTAATTACAGACTGATGCCAATGTTATTTTTAAATTCTCATCTGATCACCAACTAGTTTATTGTTTCGCTACTAATAACAGAAGCAGGATTCCATCATGATTAAACCCACAATCCCCAAGACAACCAAATACTATCATCACCATGACTATGATAAAATATCCAACATTTTGTAATATGATAAATATAAAAAGGATACAATCATAAACAATCGAAGAATTTATAAAGACATCATTCAGGTGGATATAATTGCTGAGCATTTAGAAGCAACAGAAGAAGCATGAAGTAACTACAACATCATAACAACACCTTCACCTCAATATACGCCTCAATTCTTTGAATAAGTTTGTCAATCATTTGAGGGATGAACGGACCAACTGTGTGAGTCAAAAACAGTGTCATTACTCTATTATTAATCATTCTTTAGACAGACATTATCATGGAATTTCATAACAAGCTTTAGAACCATGAAATTCAATTACAAATTCAATTCAAAAACAAATTGAATGACAGACACAACCATATCCTTTTAAAGACTGTGATCACCAAAACGTTGTAAGACCGAAATTTAGTTTGGAGTTGATAAATGCATTATAAACTCATCTCAATATTAAAAAATCAGAGAATTTAATCAAAACAATCGTTGAATGAGGAATAATAATCCAGAGGCAGTGAATCAAAAAGAAACAACAAGAATCAAGCTGAACTGATTTGATTACAATCTTAACAATGGCTCAATAAATATATTCCTAACCTTGTCGCATGGTAACAAGTGCAACCTAATATGAAAACATTTCCAGAGAAAACTAGTTATGATGAACTTTTTATGTACAAATACTGGAACAATAAAAATGAAATCAGTCTAGGGTTTGTTACTTTGTTACCTATAAACTGGAGGCTATTTCTCATAAGTATCAACTGTCAATTATGATTCATGCGTTAGGTCAACATGAGATCAATTACCCCCCCCCCCCCCGGAATGAAGGGAAGGGGAAAGGAACAGAGGGGATATCTGTACCCCTACCTTTGGAGAATCAGTATCCATTGAATCAAATCATATATTTCTTTTGAGAATGTATGATGGTTCCTTTTAAAGTCACCACAAAACATCTCATTGTTTGGCCCAAATCTTAATTTGACCAAAAATATCTATATTTATACATGTATGCCAGTATGAGTGTGATTGAGAAAAGGCAATTCCATTGTGTACCTTTGAATCCACCAATCAAGCAGCTGTAGCTTTACCTTTGAAAAACTGTATGCAATAATGAGTTCATAGTTTTTTTATATTATTAAAGTATAACGTTAAAAGTGTGAATAAGAACTGAATGTTGGTTAACTACTTATATATACGAAAATGACATAGCTTTATTGATGAAAAGAAAATTTCAATTGTTTTATTATGCTTTGTCGAAGGGTATACAGTACTTTGTATTTTTGTATTCAATAGCTAGTTTAGTCTTAATGTAGTTCAGAGTTTGTAAATCAGTCATACGAGGTAAGCAAAAGTATCATAATGGGAATTTGAAACTATAGTGGGTTTAAGATTCCTTTGAAAGGCTCTGATTAGCATAATGGATGTATTTCATCTTCGTCTATTGGGAATCATAAAAAACAGTGAAGATTACGATACAATCGGGACTGGCTGCCTGAAAACTAGATCCAAACTCAAGCAGTGATTACATTATTAAGTAATGTAATGTAGAACCATTAGACGCATCATTTTTCATAATTTTTCACCTTGTATATATTTTCAACAAGTTGCCAGTTCATATGCCAGGAACCTTCTCCTAAACAAATATAGATGAAGCTCTGTTTTAAGGAGCAAAGGCAAACGAATCCAAAGGGCACAAGAGCCCCTGTTTTCCTCCACTAATTTCCAATTTGAAGGTAATTTATCCCAGATGATTCTCCCAGATGATTCCCTATTCTAAAAAAATCTAATAGCTAAAGCATCTCTTTTGGAAATGAGAACTGCCTCTAGAGGTCAATAAAATTAACTTAATCATTCATTGAAAATCTCCAAACCCACTCGCCATTTTGATTTTCAATCATGAAAACTCCAGACCTTGGAAATCTAATTTGGAAAATCTCAGTGTTATATACTAAGGTCTTCCTGACCGAGTGCCCTTTATCTATGCTCTACTAAATAGAGCAGGAGGCTGTGGATCTCACATACTGCAACTAGATCAAATCATGTACATGTAATATATTCACTGTATTTAAATTATATTAAGAACCTAAAATAGATTATTGTACTTTAAGAACCTGTTTTACAGTGTGCTGTTAGCTGTTATCAAATTGAAACTACAATAAAACTACATGCAAAAAATCATCTGCATATGCCTTCATTGATATATCTGAATGTTTTCTACATAACCCTATTAGTGTGTGCCAAATTGCTTTCTAAGTGGCTTAGTTAGGCTAAACCTATGTTGTGGTAGCT